GGCTCCGGCTCCGCGGCCGCCCCGGCCCCGCCTCCGGGGGGAACCCCTCCCTCCCCAAAGCGCCCCCCGTTTCTTTGTGCATTCGCACCGCAAGGAGGAAATGAGCGCAAAATCGCGGAGTTTCCTTTTTTCTTTTTAACCCTCCTTCTCTCTTCCCCCCCGAGGCCCCTTTTTTGTGTGTTAACGCTTGTGTTTTGCCGTGCTCGGTGCCATCCTCCCCCGGGCAGAGACCAAGTGCACGCAACTGCAGTGCGTGAAACCAAAATAGGTAGTTTCAGGTGCAGGGAAACGCTAATGATACCTTGCGTGGATTTTTTCTTTTTTTTTATTTTCCCCCCTTCTTTTCTTCTTCCCTCTTTTTCAGGCCCTGCTGGGGGCTGACGTGTCTATGGAGAAGAAAAGGAGAGAGAAAGGGAGGAGCTAAACATAATACAGGCACTTTCAACAACCTTGAAAATTCAAATGAAACCCGGATTTCTATTGTGTGGCAGCTAGGCAAGCAACTATTGTACCTACTGGATGCAGCAGAGAAAGACATACTAAAGACATGTCCTTTTGTTCTCAGTAAAAAGGAACTTCCTGCAAGAAGCACTGATACTGTACATGCATGGCCCCTGGCTAGCAGAGCACTCCAGATTAGGGTCTCCTTAATCACGGGGGCAGTGCCCAGACTGGCACCCAAACACTAATGGGAAAAGAGTGGGCAACCCTTCTGACTAGCAGTGTACCAGCAGGGATGGGCTCTGGCGCCTCGTCATCTCACTGGCCTCGGGCACGGCTGAAACCCCTTCCGTGGGCTGCAGCAAAGAAATAAAATTTTAAACAATTACTTTCTCTTCCCTTCTCACAGCAACCCCAGAGGGAGACTAACAGCACGTTCCCTTGTCATTGAAAAGGAAAAACATGATGCTTTGTCTTTTCCCTCCTCAAGACACGGAGAAGACAGTACCACCGAAGCACATGGGCCAGGCTACCCACGTAGGAAAAACAAGGCAAGAAGTGGCAACTGGCTGAGCCAAGGCCCTTCCTCAAATCACACCAACCACACCGAACCGCTTCCTCACTCCCTCTGAGCGGGTAGCAAGTCATTTCAAACAGATGAGGAATATACCTCCACCTTAAAAGTATCACTTTTGATTTAACCCCATTTTTGTTAGAAAACTCCTCAAAAGATAAAAAAATTTAAAAGAATTAAAACAGAAGTTTAGATATGGTGAAGAAGCTTCCTTTGTGAGACTGAAGATGAAAAAAAATCTCAGCAAAGCACAAGAGGATAAAAATTCATGTTCCTAAGGTAAAAAAGGAGGCAAAAGAAAAGCCTGGAAAAGTCAAGCTCTTCCAAACACTGTAAAGCAACCAAAAAAAAAAAAAAGATGGGAGGAAGAGGAGAGTGGCACAAACGTTTGAAAATAGTATAAACATGCAAAGTGACACCAACAAACTAAAATAATCAAGGAACAGAGGAGGTGTTGCAAAAACGCAGATGGGTTGTTTGCAACATCTTCATTTCTCACAGCAGAAGAAATCATGTAAAGGGGAAAAAAAAAACCAAATCGGCCAAAGCCAAGTGTTTTACTGCTGTCCATTAAGGGAATTCAATGCGTACACACAGCCAGAGGTTCCCAGGGCCCTGGCATCTCTCATCCCTGGTGTGCTGTGGCTCATGCCAAGACCGTGGTGGTCAAACGTCCAAAGTTATCATCATCCTAAAAAAGCACAGAAACACAAAGCAGCATATGTATGGAAGAGTTAATGCTGGCAATCCCGCTGTTATCGCTTACATTTCTAGAAAACAAGGCCTCGTAAAACAGCTACTGCAGCTATGCCATGTTTCTCCAAAGCCTACGCGGTCTGACCCCCGGCAATGTCACGCAAAGCACTGCCCGCTGCTTGGGGTACAGAAATGCTCCTGCACAGACATGCTCTCCCCAAGGGATTTGTAATGTTTGCGTGAGGACCCTGTTCTTCCATTGCCACCACGACAGTCCCCGTGATTGTCACAGCTCAAAAAACCTCCAGCCAAATTCATCAATCTGCTACCATCAAGGCGGAGCAAGCTGTTTCTTTCCTCAACCGTACAGTGGAATTAGCATGTTGGGAGAGCTGCCCGCAGAGCTTAGTGCTGCGCAAGAGACGGTACGAATACACAAGGCCCCTTTCCCCACGGCTCTGAAATCTCACACAGAGCCCCAAGGCCACTGAGATTATTTTAGATCAAACCAATATATCGGAAAGATTTAGATATAAAAAAAAATCGCTGAAGAATGCACAGGTCATACGTCTGCCATCACTGCAGACATCACTAAGGCATAAACAGAAAAGTGGCCTTAAGGGAAAGATTTGACGGAAAAGGGAAAGGGAGACTATTCAGTACACATGAAGATCAATAAAAGACTCAAGAACGTTGTTTGCATGCTCAGTTTTTTCTCTTCCCCGCGAAATAGTTTTGGCTGAAACCGCTGTCACGTGCAAAGGACGGCACAGCCCTGCGAGTATCCCAGAACAATCCTGCACAGCACGTAGGCAGGCTTCATGCTCCACTTAAGTCAATACGGTGCAAGAAGTCAACTGTGGACGACGGTGTTTGGCTATTACTTTTGCCAAGTCATGAGTGATCTCATCCCAGCAAATCTCTCCTACATGATCTGTTAAAAGCCAGACACCTTGCCAACCCCACCCCACTCCCAGAAAGCCACTCATACTGACCTTTTCGCTTCCCCCACACATCCCACATGCGCCAAGGCAGCTGAGTAAAGCCCGCACGAGGCTTGACCGAGACAGTCTGTGCTTTCTCCTGTATCAATATTTCAAAACCCTGGTCCCAAGCATTCAATATTTGAACAAAGCACTGTGAAGTTAAGGCAGGAAGAAACAGCTTGCTCTTTCACTAATGGGATTCCAGAGTGGCCGCAGCGGAGAATTAGCCCAGATGTGCAGGGCCGCGCTACAGCTTGACACGAGCTATGCTGGAGACGGTACAGCTCACCTAAAAAGCACAAGGAGAGGTACCGGTGCAGGAAGAGCCATGATCCAAGTTACTTCAACAACCAATTTAATTGCACCAGGCAACACCTCTGTGTTATGACATGACAGCAGGCATTTGGGGTACAAGCCTTATCATTAACACCAGATCCTGGAGCACAGAAACTCCTGGCAAAGGGTGACGCTCTGGCCAAGAGCACTGCTACAGTCTTACTTTTGGGAGAAGTTGCTAGATAACCTCATTTTTTGGTCCCAGGGAAATCCTCAGTGTACAGGCAGCATTTGGCAGGGGAAAGAGGGAAACATCTGTAACTTTGAGGAAGCAGTACAGAGAGGAATTCTCTCCCTTGTTCTGGAGGATGGTTTGTAGATTAGGTATTACATCTCTGAATAGATGTTGGGGAACTAGAAGTTGCATTTTAAATAAAATCAGCTGGGAAGAAGTATGCATCAGTGAAGAACCGCTTGGGGAAACATACTAATGAATATAGTTAATTTGGGGGGGGGGGAATCAAAAAGAATGGATAGTGTAATTTTACATATATTTGATAATGGTAGATTTTGAATGGATTTTAAGGAAGGGTTGGGTTTTTTTTCAAATCTCATCTTACATTCAAATTTCTGCTCATACTTGCCCTCAAAGCTTGCTTCTGTCCAAGCACTAGAGGCAAGGGCCTAAAATACAAATCAAAGATGCATTTCCTTCCTCAGAAACAAGTATCTCCTCTTTTTGAACACTGACAGCATATTGAGCAGAGCTCAGGACTAATTAATGCACATTTGATTACTGAAGACACATTTGTAGTTCATGGAAACCTTTGTGGAGAAAACAGCCTGCAAGACAGAGCCTTGCTTACAGAATACTGCCTCTCTCCTCAAGGGGACTGGAGAAATAGTTCTGCTCTGAAAAATTCTTCTGCTTTCATTGATTATGATGCTAGAGGCTAACTTCCAACCGGCCTCAAATATTGAAGCACTGTTGCAATTTGGTTTTAAATAACTTACCATCAAACAAACACAGCAGAAGTATTAACAGTCCAATTCTAAGGAGAAAAAAAAGTGTAAAAAACATGGCCCCCAAAATACATTTATGGACATAAAATCCTCCATGTAATTTCTTAACTGAATTAATCCTGAAGGCCAGTTTACCACACTGACTTTTGCAATGTTACACCAGAAATTAGTTTAGCTCAGGGAAAGCCTCATTTAAAAACAAAGCTACCATCTCCCTCTTCCAGACTGAAGCAAACACATTGCTCCGTCAACATTCAAACCCCGTATGCTTTTCTGGTTTTCAGAAGTATATTGCACGTGTTCAAAACATTTTAAACATTAAGTAGGATCTCGCCCACAGTCACAGTACGTTTGAAGATCTGGTCCTCCATATCTGAATCTTTGATAAGAGGTTAAGCACATACATTTTTTGAAGATATGCACTGCATTTACGGAAGATTTAAATTCCCTGGATGCACATGCAGGGTATTAAACACTTAAGAAGTGGTCAGAATCAAAACTTCCTCTGGCTTATTTCTCAAGCAAATTTTCACGCTTCCATACTCACAATGGTTGCGGCATGCTTGTGCTCTGCATTTTAGAAAGCGCTAAAAATCAATTATCTTTTTTACACAGGTTTGTAAGATGCTATCGCCTTATGAACTTGCATACAAACAATGCACACAAAGACACATTCATGGAGCTTCAGCATCTATGGTACAAATAATTGTAGATTTCCCCACCTACAAGGAATGTATTTAAAGAAAAAGCTACATCCCAAAATACCCTTTAATTTCACTTCTTTTTAACAAGCACCATTTAAGGATGATTAAAAATACCCTCTAGGCTTCACAAGGCTACAAATAAAGGAGGCTCATTTAAAGAGGTACAATCTATTTTCTAGCCACACCAATCTTAATCTCTTTCATAAAAACTAAATACAAGGATTATTAGCAATATTACCTGCTGGGCCAATTTCTACTGGATATACATTTATATCCTACGAGCTACTTTTCTTATTATTCTGAAGCCTGATATTGATGATGCTTTATACAGATAGTGTGAGTGCAATATAGTTTATAAATATATATACAGACTCACATATACTATCCTATATATATATATATATATATAAAATGCACGACTAAGCTTGATGGATTTCCCTGCTTGTTGTCGTTTCATTGGGAAAGAACCACCATCATCACAGGACTTATTTTCTCCTCCTCCAAGCTGCCTTTTGGCAAGGCAGGTGGCGGGTGGAATTTCCCACTGGAAACCATCAGTACAATGACACTACATCTGCAGAGGAGCGGAGCAGTCCCGCTGCTCATCTGGCCAAAATACAGCGTGTGCTGCTTTTGCAGATTTAGAAAATAACAGAGTTTCATGAGACTCTTCCTCAGATCTGCTGCTGAATGATAAGGAAGATCCCTTTTACAGTGCTTGATACTTGAACAGGGAAAAACCCTATACTGCACCCTTTTAAGTTGAATATATCCACCCAGGTTTCCAGTCCTGCTGTCTGCTTTCCTCGATAAGTAGTCTCCCATCAGTTTCAACAGGAGCAGGATCAAATGCAAAGGTGTTAGTCTGCACTCAAAATAAGGCCTTAGACAAGAGGTCTTGCCTTGTGAGAGCCAAAATGAGATGTAAGTGCCATTCTCTTCTACCCAGCCTGACAATGCAGTAATGCTTCTGCAGTGGTGCGGATACATCATTGCTATTCAGTACAAAAACACCCACCCTCATCTTTTATTCTTTATACTTAGACATCTATGCAAAC